ACTAGTACACAAGTTTAAACATAAATGCCAGCCAAAAAAAAGTTCCACGTTGTTTCACGTTCACTTTTAGTGAAAAAAACCACTAAACTATAGCCAAGTAAACCCTTCAGTATTTGCTGCAACTTCCTGCTCCTTAAGGAGATATTTTAAATTGATTCATGCATAGTTTTGTCAAAAGCAACACCCGCCCCTCCCTTTTTGATTTAAAAACAGTTTTCGGACGTTTGTGTAATAATAAACAATCTAGTATTTACCTTTTATTTTGAAAATTAAAGTCTTATCATAATATAATTTGGTAAAGAAAAAATTAAGCTTTAAAAGTAAAATGAAAAGGTTGGATCTATTTTTAAAAATTCGCGAATCTGAAGCAAATAACGAAGCACTTCCTGAATTACTTATCGAATTTATCAAAAAATCTGAAAAAATTTTTAAAAATAAACTTGGTGAACTAAATAGAATTATACAGATTTTTATTTCAAAAGTGAAAAATAAGCTTAAAAAATATTGTAGAAACTATGAAAAGTTTTTAAAGTACGAAAATAATTGGCTAGGAAAAAATCTCATTGATTATAGTGTGTCTATTCATTCTAGATTAGGAAAACCAGTTCAGAAATAGGGAGATCTTTGTAAAAGAAGTAAAAGAGCAAAGATTGCAGATTAAGCTAATGAACACCATGTAGCTCTATCTCCTGCTGCATCAAAGAGTGCTAAAGCAGCAGAAACAAAACGATTCAGCTTATATTTTGAAAAGAACTTCTAAATGTGTTGATGTAGCTCAGATGAGAAGAAGTATTGATTCCTTGACTCAAACAACTATGAAACTAGAGGAGGCTCTAGCTCTGAAAACGCAAACTGACTTGGGTGATTTACAATACCAAATGTTGAGAATTTCAGCCCTTTCTCACAATGTAAAAATATATCCTAGTCATGTTATCCAGAAGGTATTCAGTTTACTGAAATGTCAGCAAAATGCTCATTACAAAATATGCTGAATCATACAGTTACTAGGATTATAGATATTATTGATTTGAAGGAAAGCTGTAAAGTTGAGATGAATGGAATTTTGTATGTAAAAATTGGGTTTGATGGAGCTTTAAGTCAAAGTATTTACAAACAAAAATTTGATAACCTTAAAATAATAATTTTAATCAAAGCAAGAAGATAGCCTGTTTAGCACAGCAATTGTACCACTTCTGTTTAAAGTTAAAAACTTTTGAAAAAATTCTAAAAGTTCTAGCTGCCATTTTTGTAGACCTCTTCACCTGCAAAATAAAAAAGAGACATCAGAGTTGTGCAAAAAAGAAGAAACTGATCTTCAAACTCAAATGAACCAGTTAAAACCCTTCTTAACAGATTTGAATATTGCTGGTACAGTAATAACTATTAACGTTACTTTTAAAATTGGTATGACCATGTTTGATGGAAAAGTAATAAATTCATTGACTGACACTAAGTCAACTCAGACTTGTAATGTGTGTGGTTGTAAGCCCAAAGAGATGAATGATGTAGATTTAGTTCAAAAAAAAACCCTGTTAATGAGAAAGCCCTTAAACTAGGTATTTTAAATTTGCACTGTTGGATAAGATCTTTTAAATTCATCTTACATTGAGGTTATAAAATGGAAATCCAGAAGTTTCAAGCCAGAACTGAAGAAGAGAAGCTTACTGTAAAATTAAAGAAGAATTTTATTAAATCAAAGTTCAGAGAAAAGTTGAGTCTCATTGTAGACCAGCCCAAAGTAGGCTTTGGTAATAGCAATGATGGAAATACTTTAAGAAGAGCATTTGAGAACTCTGCGATTTTCTCTGAAATAACAGGGGTTGAAATGGAAGTTATAAAGAGATTGCACGTTGTCCTTATTACATTATCTTCTGGTTACCATATTGATAGTAATCAATTTGAAGTTTATTGTACTGATACAGCTAAAATTATAGTTAATAAATATCGTTGGTATATAATGCCACCCAGTGTTCAGAAAATTCTGATACATGGTTGCTCCATTTCAAAGCAATTTGATTTGCCTATTGCCAAATACTCTGAGGAAGCTCAGGAAAGTCTAAACAAGCAAATCCGAAATGTAAGGTTGCATCATAAAACAAAAATATCAAGAATTAACACAATGAAATATCAGATGCAGTACCTTTTGATTAGATCGGATCCAAAAATCTCAAGCATTTCATTTGTAAAATACAGGAGTTATCAAGGCATAACTTTGCCTCCAGAAGTAGTGGACTTATTAGTAATTTAAATTGTAAAAAGATTTTAATATTCTGACTTGTTTATTTTTGTATTATAGATTGCGTTAAAGACTCATAACGCGCTTTGTTACGCGTTTGCGCGTGTTTAGTAAATTTGTGCGCGTTGAACGTGTGCGCGAGTGTTAAACGTGTGCGCGAGCGTTTCTTCAGTAATAAAATAATGGTATAATTTGGGTCAAGGAAGCTAAGTTTTTTACTAGAAATGTTATTTACAAATACAAAGTCTTCTAACAAGCGTTTTGACGCGTACTTGTGCGTTATACGGGTAATAAGTGCATGTGAAAATAATTTTAAGTTACTAATTTGAATTCCTTGACCCCAAAAACCCCTATTTTGATGCATAGTGTAAGCTTAATGTTGTTAATAGTTAGGTAATTTTTGCCGCTTTTAACTTAATCTGGGTCACTGTGCAGCGGTTTTTACTATTTCATAACATATTTTACATTTTGCTGTTAGTTTTTTTGTTCCTCTTAAAAATGAATCCAAACAGAATTTTGGTTTTTACATTGCTTTTTGTATTCTGAATCACTTTCCTTTAAAGACATTTTAGGATGTACTGTTGATAGCAATTTACCTAAAAAAAACAAAATTAAAATTAAATAGTTATTAAATAATATTGTTAAATTAAAACTGCTATTATTCCTACTATTATTTGCTTACCTATTTAAAAAATATTGATCCAAATAATTCAATACACACCGTACTACAATAACCAAATCTCAACACTGTTGAAAATCGTAAAATATAAACAAGAACACGAGGTTGTACCAAATATAAAAATTATTACATATTGATATGAAATGAAGACACATAACCGCTAACTGCATTAGGAATGTTTTCTCTATGTCTACTTGTATTATGTAGGATAACTGTAATTTACAATTGTTTTCTTTATTTCTTCTTATAGAATTAAAATGTAGAATATTTATATGTACAGAAAAAAAAAAAACACAGTTTAAAAGTTAGAGAGAGCACGAAAAAATAAATTTTAATTTCGGAATTCGTTGGAAAAAATTTTGGAATTCGAAACTATGTTATGGAAACGATTTCCGGAATTCTTGAATTTCGAATTTCGAAATGGAATCCCTAATTATGTTGATGTAAACTTTTTTTCCAGGACCATCAACTCAAAGCGAATTTTTCCAGCAGCTACATCCACCTTGACTGCTCAACAACTTTTACAAATTCAAAAGCAGACTGGGTTTTTAAATACTTTACAAAGTAGCTCCACGAAGTAGTTAAAAAAAAACTTCAGGGAAAAATTTGGCACAGTTTATTGATCGTAACACAGTTTATTAATCGCCACAAACAATTACTGAGCATCTATTAAGAGAAAGCAAGAGTCACTCCATCATGACTTCAACTATCACTGACAATAGCTCAAAAGGCCCAGTAATCATCCAGACTCTCCTAAGAATCTTTTAAATTGTTTAATTGATTAAAACAGCAAGCATTCCTTTTAACTTCTTTGTAGAGAATATTCTGTATTATAACATGATATAAGAAATTACTTTTCAGCATCAATTTTTAAGAACTATAAAATAAGAGTAATCCTTTTTTTTTTAAGTTGCTTGATCTGTAAAATTTTGTAAAGCTAGAATCTGATTTTTTAAAATTTTGTTTAAAAGTTGATGTAAAAAAGTAAAATAGAAAATTCAAATCAATTTTTCTTTTACTGGCGATGATGAAAGACTTTAAACCCAACTCTAATGTACTCTTACATACTTGTACTATCATACTCCTAAAGGCTTTTCTCGAAAAAAGTGGTTTGAATTAAAGGTTTTCGTGACGCAATATATCAAAAAGTCATTACAATCATATTTACTATGCGATTTTATAGATGACATTTAGATTTTGGAGCTTCACAATTTATTTTTGCCCCAGTGCCCCGAGCCAGCTCGGAGCAGCCCTAAAGAGTTTGCAAAAACTAGGTAGTAGTTATAATAGTACATAACTTTTGTTATTAAATGAACAAACAACAATTAAATATTAAAAAGTTTAATTGAATGAAAAGATATAAGAATTTTAAGATTTTTACTCGACTTTTAGTCTATTAGTCCACAGTCGGTTTAATTGATTTTTTTTTAATTATTTTGGTTTAGTCGATTAGTCCACAGTCGATTTAATTGACTCTTCGATTTTTCGAAAAGTCGAAATTAGTCGAAAGTCGACTAATTTCGACTTTCGACTAGTCGACTTTTAGTCGGTTTAGTCAAAGTCGATAACAACACTACTGCTTTGTTATACTTTTTCAACTTTTTTTTTTTTTTTTCGCTGGAGGAGATAATTGTTGAACAGGCATACAATGTTTTTCTTTTGATTTAGTGAAACTTTTTATAAGTGCTTTAAATACTTAATTATGAAAAGAATGTCGCTCAAAGAAATATACATTGTTTCATAAATGCTTTGTTTTTTCAGGGCATGGCTAAAAGTGTTCATAACATGTATAACAAATAATGCTTAACTAACGTTAATATTTGGAATTGATATTAACAAAGTTATACAAATAATTTAAGAGTTATATAAAATAGGATGTGTTAGAAATTAATATTTAGCTATGCGTTTTCAAAAAACCTGGTGCTTTTGTATAAGTAAAAAAAAAAACACTAAAGAATTTGCAGTTAGAAAGTTAAGACTTTTTTATAAATAAGCTAAATTTTTTTTATTTTTATTTTTTTGTGTGGACATTTTAATAGGCGAACCATCTTAGTTATGCTTTTTATTACAACTTAATTTATTTAGTGAAGATAGAATAAGAAACGGTGCGAAAAAAATTCTCAAAGCGAAAAAGACATCAACACAAGGTCGAATGGATAGTTTTTTTAAAGTAATACCTTCGAGTTCCCCGGCTGTTAAACGAAAGGTTGTAAAAGCTTTTTTTTTTTTTTTTTTTTTTTTTTTAAGATTAAAAATGCTTGATAAATTGATAAATGCTTGATTGTGGACTTTTTTTTTCAGAAAGAAGATAAAAAAACTCCAGCAAAGAAAAAAACAAATGCTGGAAAGTTCAAAGCAAAGTAGAGGCATCCGATATAAAATAGAAACAGTTGTTATTAAATAGATTTATGAAGCAAATTTTTTTAATTAATATGTAAGTCAAGCAGGATACTTTTTAACGATTGACATTTACATATGCTGCGAGTTTATAAAAAATTAATGAAAAAAATTGTTGACTGGTTTGTTTAGGTTTTTTGCAATATTTCTTTATTAACAAGAACTTATTTTTATTGCAACTTTTTAAAATAAAATATAGCTTCCATTTCGTAATAGAGTTTAAAATGCAATCGTTTTTATCAAGGAATAAAATGATTCTAGCCATGTCAGTGGATGACACGCTTAGTTGTATATTTTTATTCTCATTTTTTTCGATGTATTATAAAATTATTTCAAGAATCAATATAGATATCAAATACGAAAAGTGTTTCTTGATATTTTTTTTTATTAACTTTTAAAACAGCTTAAAATTGATTTGTCCTAAAGCATTAGATACTACGAATCTTCAAATTTTATTAAAGACTAATGTCGTAAGTATATAAATTAAGGCACTAACTTGGTTAAAATTTTATAATACCCTAAAACAATTAGCTTTTAATATAAATTCTATATCTCATATGATAATGACTATTACATGCTGTGTACTGTAAAGATCCATTCTCGATCCACTTATTTGTATTTAATTTAACCCAACATTTGCGAAAACGCATCGTATTGTTAATAGATAACAATATCAAATATGCTAACAAATCCCCCCATCACATTTCAGACACTTCATACAAGTTCTTGCTCTAAACCACTAAGTGCTGCTCTACGATTACTTTTTCGAGATCGCTGACTAAACCTTTCTGTACGCAAACATACCACATAAGGATAGCTCGAAAGCTGTAAAACATCAACTACACACCACACAACTTAAGACCATTCAATCCTCCGCCTGTAGCATAGAACAACAAACAAAACAAATTATGATCGACATCATTCTTAGCTATGCAGCATTCAATTTATAATTAAAACACGACAAACTTTTCAAAAAATTAATTAATAGCACTTTTTCATACGTACAGGCATTAAAGAAGTTCAACATTACGTCAAAATATAAATAACGCTTTGCATCTAAATATTAAGCTCGCATTCAGTAACTTGGGCACTAAACTTTTTATTTTAAACTTGTTAAAGATTATCCATGAGTTTCAACAAGGATCAATACGTAAGTTGTATTTATCCTTGCGGAAACCCTTAAGTAATCTATAACAATTTAAGATAAAGAGGTCCAAGTACTTAGACCTCTTTTTTTTTATGTGTCAACGATCTCTATAAGGTATTCAGACTAAAGACAATATTTTTAGATAAATATAAACTTTTTTTATCTCATTAATTTTTTTTTTTTTTTTTTTTTTGTATGACTTCTTTTTACATTCTACTAATCAAAAAAAAATTTTAAATTTTATATATTTATTAGAGTATAAACAAAAACCGACTTTTTTAAAATCCGGTTTTCGAATTCTAAAAAAATCCGGCTTTAAGCGGTTTTCCCCTTTAATTAAAAACCGGTTTTAGAGGTCTTTCATGATGGCGGGGGAATAGGGGAGTGATGTACGTACTTTTTTGTCGACTAACGACCAAAAATTTTAAAAAAACTAACTCAAATGCAAAATGTGCTAACTCAAATGCACATATAACAACCCCAAAACCCCCTTACCTCCTTCAAAACGGCCCAGAAACTTAGTTTTCGATTTTTTTTTTCTATTTTGGCAATCTTAGCACCATAAAATTCAAAAAAAGCTTTTTTTTTATTATACTTAAAAACATTTCCTTAGCATTCTATACAAGTTTTAAGCTGAAATATAAAAATGTAGACAATTACAAATAAAGGTTGTTGCTATAAAAAAACTCGGAGAGTCGTAGAAGTCGTAGACTGTCGTAGTCGTAGAAGTCGTAGACTGTAAGTCTTGTCGTCGAGAAACGCTGTAAAATAACGTATTACATATTTACGTGTACAAATCTAACTATGTTTGTTTAAACAAACAAATTGTTCATCATAATTGTTTACAAAATTAATAATATTCAACAAATACTTTGCCGTATAATTTCTTATTTTTATATATCTCAAAACAATAAAAATTTGACTTTACTCGTTTAGAAAATATAGCATCCGATATTTTATTTCAAATAGGAACAGCTAGTTTGACCATTAATTTGACCAAACTTTCAATACCATCTATTAATTTCGGTCTCAAAAGTTTTTAATAATAATAAACAAATAAATTTATTTAATCACATTAATAATATAAATGATTATATACATTGATTTGAGTTATCGTGATCCCTTCGGAGTAAGCTCGAGCAGCCGTGGCGCAGTGGTAGCAAACCATAGGATCCGTGTTTCAAACACCACTTCTGGGCAAGTTTTGCGACATTGGTTTGGAATGAGGCGTGAACTTCCAATTAAATGCTCGTCCGCGGCGCTCTGTGATAAGACCGCAAGGACTTCATGGGGCACTTAAATAAAAAAAAATAAAAAAAAAAAGTTGCAACAAATTGCTTGGGATAAGTTAAATTATAAAATATCCACGGGTTTTATTGATTTTACGGGCTTTTCTAGTTATTTCTTAAAGTAATCGACATTTTTTTTAACGAAAAAAATTAGTTTTATAAAATAAAAATCTGCTAATGTTTCCACATTTAAAAAAAAACATTTAAGTAATCTAATTGCTGAATAGAAATGTAATCAATTATTTAGTTTCTTTAATACTTATTTGCTTTTTAATGAAAGGTTATTGCGAGGAAATTCCTTTCTTGTTTTTATTAAGTTTGATATTTGTTTGCTTTTATGAAACTTTGTTTAACATGTTTTATTTTTTTACATTTAAATTTTTTTTTAATAAAATGTTATTGAAACAATAACAATATATATTCTGAAATAAAAGTTTACATTTACTAATAGTACGAGTACTAATCTAAGGTAAACACCAATTAAATAATAATAGTAATCATATAATAATAATAATGTAAATTAAACAAAGACGATTATAATAATATCAATAATACTATTAAATATAATAATGACAATAATAATGATTATATTAGTAATTATAAAAACAAAAGCAATAATGATAACAATAATAGTAATAATAATAACAATAAAATAACAACAATAATAATAATAGCAATAATAGCAATAAAATTAACAATAATAATAATATTAACTAATATCACATTTATATATTAAACAATTTTAATAAGTAATAATGACGGTAACAAAAATGTAAACAAAATGTAAGTAATATTAACATCACATATAATGATAATACTAATAACAATAGTAATAATAATATATTATAAGCCTAAGATTTTAATTTGAGTATTTTTCTATCAAAAAGTCAAAAAGACGGGTTTTAAATTGCGAAAAAGAGTTGAGGGATGGAAAATGAAAAAGTAAATTATTACACTATTTTACGCATTGGTTTGTAATAGAATTATCACCGTATTTTACCGAACAGCAATTTGGGATATATAATTTAAAGTTACTCAAAGATCAAAGGTAATAACGTCATTCTCCAATATTTTTAGTGGTAAAAAAATTAGAGAATGACGGAGGGAGGTTTACTTGTTTATGATTCCAGACAAATAGGCAATTTAATAGATAAACAATATCACATAATTTGAGTATTTTTGATAGAAAGTAAAGGATGTCAGAGTTAGAATGATACTGTTGAAAGAAAATTATTTTTAAAGCTTTGTTTTGTAGGTTACATAACCTTAAACTAAGGGAACCTTAACCAGAAACTAAGGGAAAGATTTTTTGTCCACTTAGTCTAAAGTTTAGGTTTTTATACATTTTAGATTGATTAGATTTGAAAATAATGAGTTCACTTTTGTTGGTATTAAGACTTAGTTTGTTAGAGCGCAGCCATTGAAGAAGGTTAGATAAATCATGATTAAAATGTTTGTTAATTTTTTTTAATGATTTGTTTGTTATGAGTAAGTTGGTGTCGTCATCAAAATGGTAAGCCGTTGAAAATTTTAGAGAGATATTAAGATCATTTATAATAATGATTAATATGTTTGTTAATTTTTTTAAAATGATTTGTTTGTTATGAGTAAGTTGGTGTCGTCAGCAAAATGGTAAGCCGTTGAAAATTTTAGAGAGATATTAAGATCATTTATAATAATTATAATAATACTTTTAAAACAGAATTTAAATATCCAAAAAGCTATCTAATTTATTTTGTATTGACTAAAAGAATGCTTTTTTTCAGAAACATTTTGAAGTTAAAATAATAAATTAGTTTAAACAATCTTTCTTTTTTAATTTCTTCAGTCTTTGAATATAATTATCAGTTTACTAAACAAGTCAAATATATGTGAAGTCATGCAAAAGTGTAAAAAAGTATATGTGAAGTCATGCAAAAGTATTTTAGTTCAATGAAAATGCAACTAGTTGCATCTTCTTTTTGCAATTTTATAATTACATAAAAAGAAAGAACTTTCTTTTTATGTAATTATAAAATTTTTGTTGCCAAATAGAAGTTAGAGGTTAACTTGTTATTTTTCATTGTACTTTGCGAAGCATATACTTTCAAAGTATTGTGTTTTAACTTACCATGTTCACTGTTGCAAAATTTGCAGGAGATAAATGCAGTTCATTGCAACTAGCCCCAGTCTTCCCGTAATATCAGAAATTTAAGATCCGAATACACGTCGCAATATCATATCGCAATATCACAAATCAATATCATATCGCAATATCACAATATCTAAAATTATGAAAACTAGTTATCAAATGTTATCTTATAATAAAATTATAAAACAAGATCTTTTAATTCAATTTTTTTAAAATTAAGTTTTTTTTTTTTAATTCAACACTTTCAGAAAAATATATTTAAAAGCAAAAATCATTAAATATTTTCAGCAAACAAATTTATTTAGATTTTAAATTTACAAATGTTAAATTCTGTCTTTTATTTCAGAGATTGCTTATTTGAAGTTTTAATAATATGCACCATTTTAAAAATTTTATTTGCAAATTTCTTTCTTGTATATATATTTGTTTGATTATCTATTGTTAAACAGCAAAAAAAAAAAAAAAAAAAAAAAAAACGAATAAACGAATGGAATGAAATGATTTACTTGATCATACATGGTTCCTTATGAAGTATGTCATTAAATTAATTAAATTAAACTAAATTAAATTAGAAAAAAAAAAAAAAAAGTATCATTTAACCAGCATAAAGTAGTATTTTTGCCTTTATTTCTAACTTAAGGCAAGCAAGGCAGTAAAAAACTCCTGGAAATTCATAAAGAAAACATCATAAATAATTCTTTTGTTTGCATGTTGGAGAAAATTTGTCTGGATTGTTTGCGCAGTGTTCTAGGCGGCTTGTTGCTAAATAGATCGAGGGATAAAGTGATTAAAAATAG